GAAATGCATTAGGAGCCTGGTCGTTTCTGTTAGTAGCTTGGCAACGTCTGCGCAGCGCCTCCATATAAATGGGGCCTGAGACCACTGCTTTAGAGCTATACAACCAGGAACTCAGTATTACAAGAGGAGCTCGAAATACAGCCGCTGCTCCTCCACTTCTCTACCTGGCAGCAGAGATTTTTTTTTTGGATTATCTTATTACTTTATTACATTGAATAAAGTCTTATAAAAATCCTATTACTTATATGAATACAAAAGAATTGCAACACTTGCGCCTGTAATGATCCAGACCTGGGACTACATTTGGCTAAATGACCGGACACAAACAGAACAGCGTGTGGAATCTTGACACATCCCAGACAGATAGCGCTGCCGTAAATAACTTATGGTGCATAACGGTAACACTGCATGTAAACAAAAGGCTCAAAACAACTGCAATTGTGTGTAACTATAGAAACACAATCTGGAATGGTACTGTAAAAGGAGATCAGTGAAAAGGTGTAATTGAGCATGGATTGGAGGTTTGGATTTGGTCTAACAAAAGACTAAAACATAATCCATTGAAAGTCTAGATCTGGTTTTGTATATTGGCACTAAAGGAAATAATTGAGTGCAGTTATTATGGTAAGAATAAAAACGGTAACACAAAAGCTAAAGTGGTCTTAAAATGGTTTTACTAAGACCAAAAACCTGTGTAGATTTTGCAAGGTAATTACCGCCACTAGGTTGATGCAGAAATTGCAGCGAGTATAGACGGAGCCAAGAGGACAACACAAGGTTTTTCACCTTGATGTAAGATTAGCATATGGGGTACAATGAACTGAACCATAATCTAGGTTTTTGATAATCAGAATAAAGGGCAATTAGTGTATAGTTCTTTGGTGCATGTCTTTTGAATATATCTTATAAAGGAGACAATAAAGGCAAATCTAAGCCACCTCCCCAAACAAGCTCATGGTCATCAATATCATTTAGAAACACAATCAAAGAGAAAAAAAATCAACATTTATAGCATCTGAGTTTCTGGAAATGCTTTTTTACTTTTCATTGTATTTTACATCTTGTATATGCATTACAGCTGAACCATGCTTGCCCTTAATCAATCATAACCCCATCAATTATACCCATCGGAGCCTAGAAAGATAAAACACAAAACCCATAACTTAGCATCAAATAATAGCGTCTTCTTCTTTTTTTACCTTTTTTAAAACTCGTTACTGAAAGAGCTAAAAACAAACAAAACAAAACACAATAAAAAGTGTCTTCAAACCAGACCCATCAACTCCTCACCCCCTCAACATCCCCAAACTTCACCCCCATCACTCGGCTCCAGTCTGGAGGCTAAATGTGCTGGTCACTTCCTCCAGCAGCTGCTCCCACAATCTGCCGGATGACAAGACATACTGTCGGATTCCCGTTGCACGCACCGCGCCAATTACATGCCCCTTCACTGTTACTTGTTGCTAAGCAGTTGTGTTGGTTATTTACACGTTTTCAAACAGGGAACATTAGCACGACTTCAACACCCAAAGCCACATGCAAGAGAGAAGAAGAATGGCAAACGTATTCAAAGTGCAGTGAATTCATTTCTGCATAACCTAATTAAAAAGAGTAAATAGTATGCATACTTGTTGGACATTTAAACTGATGAGGCTGCTTACATTGTAATTTCATGTTTTAGAAATTGAAAAATATCTTAAATAGAAAATATATGGTGAAACAAGGATGAAGAGTAGAAAATGCTCTCTGCCTGTAACTCCCAATGCTACCACCAGAGGGAGGAGTACATCTATCATACGAATGGTTATGGTTTTTAAGACTGCAGTGTGTGTACGTGTATGTGTATGTATGTGTGTGTGTGTGTGTGTGTGTGTGTGTGTGTGTGTGTGTGTGTGTGTGTGTGTGTGTGTGTGTGTGTGTGTGTGTGTGTATGTGTGCGTACATTCAGATTTTTGGGAGTCAAAAGATTGTGTTGATATTTCAGAGATTCCAAGAACGCATAAGAGCCGCCTGAGACAGTAGCTTTTAGACGAATGGGGCAACATTATATATTTGAGTCAGAAGGTTATAATTACATCTCCAGGGGTGTTTTTGATGAGGTACCAGGGTAGAAACATAGTTGAAATTAAAATATAAACAAAGTCAATTCTGATAAATATGTCTCCTTTAAGAGGCAGAACGGGTGAACAAGACGGTAGGCTCCAGCTATGGTCCTCACTGTGAGTACTTATGTGAGGTCAGTACAAAACACAGCAACACTATTTTCAGTTATTTTTATATAAATCAAAAGGTATATAGGAGGATTTTCTATTTCCGGGTGGATCATCAAGACTGTAGGTCCTCCCAATTGTCAATAATTCTGGTGATAGGTGCTCCTCAAGTAAGACCAGAGAGATTTGTTCAAAAAGTGAAGAGGGCAGTTCTTTCCTAAAATTTGGGAAAATCCTCATATACCTAAGTTTCACCTGTTTTCTTAAATAAAATACCGCATCTAATGTATCCTAACATTTTACCCCAACACATCAATAGAAGTATATAAAACGGTATGTCTAACTTTATACATGGTCCAGTTTTGAACAAATCCAAAAAATTAACACATTTCATGACAAATAAAAGTAATGTATAAAATACCTTAATAATGAAAAAAAAAAAAACAATTATAATGTTTTCTTTTGGCCCTAACCAGCTCCTATTTATTTGTCGCTTGGTCTGAGGTTAATAGCCGTTACAAAACAACTTATTAAAAAGTGTGTGTGTTTGTTGCAGTTTGGCGAGTGCGCCTCTTGCAGTGAATCCTGGTCCCTGATTGGTTGTCGTCGGCTGGGACTCGGTGGAGCGCTGCAGAGAGCTGGCGCAGCACTATAACCAAGATGAATGGAGACAAGAGCAAGAGGAAAGTGTTCACTCCAAGGTCGGCGGTTCACTGAGGATACAGAGGAGCTGGAAACTTTGTCTTCATCAGCATCGTGGATCCAGAAGCCGCAGTCCGCACATGTGTCAGTGCGTGTGACATTAAGTCTCTGTAAACAACGGCATGATGTAAAGTGTGGGACTTTTTAGGTGAAGGCTCTGCTTGTTTTTTGCTGCCTCTGCTTCAAATAAGGGAAGAGATAAATGATCAAGATCAAGACAAAGAGATCCTTTATTTGTCCCGGAGTGGGGAAATGTCAGTGTTGCATCTTCGGTTACCAGTGTTGGGCACGTTACTTTGAAAAAGTAATTAGTTATAGTTACTAATCATAACCCCATCAATTATACCCATCGGAGCCTAGAAAGATAAAACACAAAACCCATAACTTAGCATCAAATAATAGCGTCTTCTTCTTTTTTTACCTTTTTTAAAACTCGTTACTGAAAGAGCTAAAAACAAACAAAACAAAACACAATAAAAAGTGTCTTCAAACCAGACCCATCAACTCCTCACCCCCTCAACATCCCCAAACTTCACCCCCATCACTCGGCTCCAGTCTGGAGGCTAAATGTGCTGGTCACTTCCTCCAGCAGCTGCTCCCACAATCTGCCGGATGACAAGACATACTGTCGGATTCCCGTTGCACGCACCGCGCCAATTACATGCCCCTTCACTGTTACTTGTTGCTAAGCAGTTGTGTTGGTTATTTACACGTTTTCAAACAGGGAACATTAGCACGACTTCAACACCCAAAGCCACATGCAAGAGAGAAGAAGAATGGCAAACGTATTCAAAGTGCAGTGAATTCATTTCTGCATAACCTAATTAAAAAGAGTAAATAGTATGCATACTTGTTGGACATTTAAACTGATGAGGCTGCTTACATTGTAATTTCATGTTTTAGAAATTGAAAAATATCTTAAATAGAAAATATATGGTGAAACAAGGATGAAGAGTAGAAAATGCTCTCTGCCTGTAACTCCCAATGCTACCACCAGAGGGAGGAGTACATCTATCATACGAATGGTTATGGTTTTTAAGACTGCAGTGTGTGTACGTGTATGTGTATGTATGTGTGTGTGTGTGTGTGTGTGTGTGTGTGTGTGTGTGTGTGTGTGTGTGTGTGTGTGTGTGTGTGTGTGTGTGTGTATGTGTGCGTACATTCAGATTTTTGGGAGTCAAAAGATTGTGTTGATATTTCAGAGATTCCAAGAACGCATAAGAGCCGCCTGAGACAGTAGCTTTTAGACGAATGGGGCAACATTATATATTTGAGTCAGAAGGTTATAATTACATCTCCAGGGGTGTTTTTGATGAGGTACCAGGGTAGAAACATAGTTGAAATTAAAATATAAACAAAGTCAATTCTGCTAAATATGTCTCCTTTAAGAGGCAGAACGGGTGAACAAGACGGTAGGCTCCAGCTATGGTCCTCACTGTGAGTACTTATGAGAGGTCAGTACAAAACACAGCAACACTATTTTCAGTTATTTTTATATAAATCAAAAGGTATATAGGAGGATTTTCTATTTCCGGGTGGATCATCAAGACTGTAGGTCCTCCCAATTGTCAATAATTCTGGTGATAGGTGCTCCTCAAGTAAGACCAGAGAGATTTGTTCAAAAAGTGAAGAGGGCAGTTCTTTCCTAAAATTTGGGAAAATCCTCATATACCTAAGTTTCACCTGTTTTCTTAAATAAAATACCGCATCTAATGTATCCTAACATTTTACCCCAACACATCAATAGAAGTATATAAAACGGTATGTCTAACTTTATACATGGTCCAGTTTTGAACAAATCCAAAAAATTAACACATTTCATGACAAATAAAAGTAATGTATAAAATACCTTAATAATGAAAAAAAAAAAAACAATTATAATGTTTTCTTTTGGCCCTAACCAGCTCCTATTTATTTGTCGCTTGGTCTGAGGTTAATAGCCGTTACAAAACAACTTATTAAAAAGTGTGTGTGTTTGTTGCAGTTTGGCGAGTGCGCCTCTTGCAGTGAATCCTGGTCCCTGATTGGTTGTCGTCGGCTGGGACTCGGTGGAGCGCTGCAGAGAGCTGGCGCAGCACTATAACCAAGATGAATGGAGACAAGAGCAAGAGGAAAGTGTTCACTCCAAGGTCGGCGGTTCACTGAGGATACAGAGGAGCTGGAAACTTTGTCTTCATCAGCATCGTGGATCCAGAAGCCGCAGTCCGCACATGTGTCAGTGCGTGTGACATTAAGTCTCTGTAAACAACGGCATGATGTAAAGTGTGGGACTTTTTAGGTGAAGGCTCTGCTTGTTTTTTGCTGCCTCTGCTTCAAATAAGGGAAGAGATAAATGATCAAGATCAAGACAAAGAGATCCTTTATTAGTCCCGGAGTGGGGAAATGTCAGTGTTGCATCTTCGGTTACCAGTGTTGGGCACGTTACTTTGAAAAAGTAATTAGTTATAGTTACTAGTTACTTCTCCCAAAAAGTAACTGAGTTACTAACGGAGTTACTCCACTGTAAAAGTAACTAGTTACCAGTAAAAGTAACTATTGCGTTACTTTTTTGTTTTGTTCTGGAACATAATGTGCACTTGACGTGCACATTTTTACCTTTAACCTCAGTGAGTTTGAAATAGTGCCAATATTTCCATCTAGAAAAGGCTGTTTTGTTGCTGAAGTCCTGTTCACTCATCATCTCTCTCTCTGTGCTGTAAGCACTAAACACCAACACCCACCACTGTGAATGTGGAAACACCGGTGAAGCACTGACTTCAGCCCAATCAGATGAACATATATATCATATAAATCAACTGGACAATTTGTTTGGCTACAGCAGAATGTTTCATGCCCGCATTGTTTGTTCATACAAAACGCAAAACTATGAGTTATGGGTCTTACCTTATAAATGACCTGCACAGGCCACTTCGGTTCAGACCAGTTTAAGTCCAGATAATAGTTTGAGCATAGATATGTAATCCTCCATTTGGAAATGAGTCCAATGAGTTTTAAAAAGTAAAACAAAACGCGTGTGTCCTCCATAAACTCCACTCCTCTGTTTTGGTAGCTGCAGCCGGGTGCATCCAATTTCTAAAATCAACCGTCTTACACTTCACCTCTCTTTCTTATCATTCCTATAGTCATTAAAAAATTACCCTAAGTACATTTTAAATTATCTTAAAATGTGTTATATGTATGTTAGCCAAACCTGTTGCTGCCCTTCGCAGATAAACCAGGAAGAGAAAGGAGCTTATCGATGGAATTGTATGCAGCCGACTTCTGCGCTCACATGCTCTCCTCTGAGGCTGGCCTCACGGTGATACAAGCCGTGGTTGAGCGCGATTAAGACCCATATTTGTTTCAAAAACACAATTTATGAGCCATCCTCTCAACTGTAGACATGTAGATTGTAAAGGAAATATGTTTTACATCAGCCAATTATTGCTGAAAGGTTTTCTCATCCTCCCTTCTCTCATGACAACACGCGCACGAGTCCTATCACGAAGTAAAAAGAGAAGTTCATTGTGCGTCTTGAGTAACGCACAGTAATGGGATGTCGGAAATGATAACGGCGTTATAGTTACAGTCAAAGTAATTAGTTAGATTACTCGTTACTGAAAAAAGTAACGGCGTTAGTAACGCCGTTATTAGTAACGGCGTTATTCCCATCACTGTCGGTTACAGACCAGTAGGATTGAGGAGAAATCTTGAATTAGAGCATACTAAAGAAGCAAGTATAACATCTATAGCTTTAGCGTAATAAGGAAGCAAATCTAAAATCCCCAACTTTAATAATAATACATCAAACTTGTATTGCGCTTATTTTGACACTCAAAGATGCTTAAAACAGAGAATAAAACAAAAGGAAAAATTTAAAAAGGCAGGGGTTTAGGGAAAAGCTTGTTTGAAAAAGATGGGTTTTCAGCACGGATTTAAAGTTTGGTACTTTAGCAAAATGTTTTTCCTGACGGAGTTAAGTTAAACTATCGAACATTCTATCGACCCCATTCTCTATTGATATCGAACACATGTCTATCGCAATATATATCGTTATTGTTTTATCGCCCAGCCCTACGACACATAAAGCGTTTTCATGGTTTAAAAGAGAACAAATGGATGTGTTAAAAAGGCCAAAGTTCAGGCCTGAATCCAATTGAGAATCAAAGTCCTTAAAACCACTGTTTACAGTCTTCATGGAAAGTAATAAAGCTCAAGCTGGTTTACAAAGAAGAAAAAGTGACACGGCGTTGGAGTGGATAGTTCTAAGTTTGAATCTCAGTCGGCGTAGGTTTCCTCCGGGTGCTCCTGTTTCCCCTAACACTAAAAACATGTACGATAAGTCTGGCATGTGCCTCCTGTCGGTGACCTCACTCCCATCTCTGTGTGGGTGAGAGACAAATACCCACAACAACTGTAAAGCGTTTTGTGACTCTGGTCTGAGAAAGGCACTATATGAATAAGGATAAGTTATGTACTTACTGGGTTAGGGTTAGGGTAAATGGGTAGCAAGCAAGTAACTGTCTCCAGAAGTGCTTTTTCACTTTGCAAGTACAGTATGTCCCGCTTTGTGTTGATCTTTCGCAAAAAATCCAGAAAAATATCTTTATTTGTGGAAGTTGATAGAGCATGAACACGTTTTCAAGGCACTGTATCAGCACAACCACATGTAAGCGGTTCTCTCATGTGGTTGTTTTCTGTCGTAAAAGCAGGTGCAGCAATGATGCTTACACAGTCAAAGCTTTAAATAACTGACCTAGAACACACTTTACTATGAAGAGGAAAGCAGTGGAAACATGAGTGGTCAAAGGAATCCCTTTTGTGGCAGAGAATGTTTAGAGAATGACGAGCTTTGAAAGGACATGGAGAAAGTTAAAATGTGTTTTTCATAACTTTGCTTGTTGTGCATTTGAATGTGCTTTTGGAAATTAAAAAATACAAAAAAGACCATTGGTCTCTTTTGCCAGTGTGTACCTGTACGGGGGGAGAGATAAATAAACTTTTTCATTTATAAATGTTTCATTTATGTTTATTCCAAAATCCATCATTAACATAATTTGACAACAGTAATACAGTCAATATACAAGGTTTGGACAGATTTTTGGATTGATTAATGGGTTCAATAGAAGACTTACGCAGACATAAATGGCTTGAGGAGCACAAAACGACCAGGGAACTGTTTCATTCATGCTGCCGCGCTCATTGAAGATCAAAGTGCAGCCGTGTAGTTCAGCGCACACTGGATATGATGACGGATGATGCATTAACTGGACGCACTCAGACTGCACACGCTTAAACGCGCTCGCCGGTCGGGAAAAGGCTACGGCAGCACTTTCTTTCAACGTTGCAACGCGGCGTTTGATCAAGAAGGTCCACGCAACGCTTCAATGGATTTTCACTAAATTGCAGCTTTATAGACTTCACTGTACACACATACACACACAAACACACACACACACACACACACACACAAACAGACAGCAGCTGCTTGTTCGGAAAATATGCAAAGACTTACAATCTCCACAAAAGGCTGCAGACAAAGTTCAAATGGACGGTTAATACACCCAATAAAAACGCAATGAGCCATAGATGAAGACACCGTAGAGAGAGCTCCGACCACATGCAAGTCATGGTTTAAGCAATAGTCTTTCATATACTTGGATATAATAATAAGAGAAACAGGGTTGAAACCATAGACTGTAAATATTAACGTACGTAGTCACGCCTATCTCCACCGTTCTAACTAATGTGCCACAACTTCCGCGGCCTATGGGTGGTTTTAAAATGGCTGCGGGGGCTGGAAAATGTGAAACAACGCATCTGTGCATGCGTCCGCCGGCACGAGCTACTTTCATTTAAACGAGTGCCTTCAAAAAAATCACAGTGACTAAACTAGACTGGTCCAAAACACTCCCCTCAGCATTGACACACATGTGGAACGAAGCTTTGGGCCAAGAGCCAACTTTTGGACCATCCTATAAAGACATTTTCGAGAGGTAAGCAGACGCTATATGTTAGCATTGGCTAATTCTTATTCTGGGTCCACCCCCATCGGCCCGGGGTGGTATTGAAAGCATGTCAGCGCACGTCAGTGTGTGTGGGAAAAGTTAGGTTCTGTGGGTATAAGTGGAAATCTCACTTGTGGATTTAGAAAACCATTTTCTGTGTTTGGCTCTTGATATAGAGTATAGACCTCGACTTCAAAGAAAAGTAATTAAATTCAGTATCTCATGGCGTTACCCGTTCTAATATTAAATTGTTGAAAGGGGCTGTTTTCACGGTTATTTCAGAGTGATTCCTGCATATTTGAGTGGCCTTTATTCTTCTGAATTAAAAGAATACAATGCTCTAACATCCTCCTTTTCACCCTCTTCATTTTCAATTCGTTGAGATTTCAAGGATTTAAAAAGGATTAAAAAACCTAACTAGTGCTGTAACAATTTGTCTACATAGTCCTGGTGCATTTTTCAGTATTTCTGTTGAAAATGTAAATATGAACAATAAAAATTGATCGATCTGCTACACAGGGGAGACTAACACATCAAGTTACACACATGTTGTATGTATTTCACATCTAAAAGTACACACTGAACTCTGGAAATCAGACAACAGGTATTTATATCTCTCACAAACCCATTTGGCCAACTCTTAACATCTAAAACAATAGAAACAGGAGTTGAAAGCAGCACACGCAATAAAACGGAAGGGGAAAAGTGTGTTCAAGTGTTGGTGAAGTAATGAGGGAAACAAAGTCAGCGACTGATGCTTTTCAAAGGAACTGGACAAAATGGTTCACTGACAGACTCTCCATCACCGTCCACAACCCGCTCTGCTGCCGCTGGGACTTTACAAGCACAAAGATTGGCTCTGTAGTCTTTTCATCTAGGTTAGGGGCTGACAGGTAGATCCAGTCTGAGGGGAGCGGCCATGATGGACCTCTGCAGAGAGACCCACGGTAATAGAAGTACTCCTCATGACCTGCCCTGATGGAGAGTGGGTGTTCAGAATACTATACCCCTAATGCCATTATCTTTTATTGCAGAGAGGTCAAATTGTGTTAGCTCTCTGCACAATGAGGATTGCAATCACTGTAATGTGCATTTTGGGCAATAAAAGTTTATTACAATGGTAAATTCTAAATAATTAGTTGAAGATAAACATCCAGGATCCAAGCACCCTGAGAGTCAAGATAATGATATTGTGGTTCACCACTGTATCTAATGGCACATATGAAATGGCACGGCCGACCAACAGCTCACTCATCTACTTGTTGTTCCATACGACCGAACATCAACACACATCAGTGCCATCTACAGAGGTTAAAGTAGGACAGAAGAGTCTGGAAATACATTCCGGCTGCCACCTTGAATAAAAGGGGGAGCTCGCCCATGCACCTGCCAGCCCAAATAAACTAACAGAGAGAGATGTGCAGTAGATTTATTTTCCCCTATTAGTTTGATTAAAATCTCTGATATGAAATTCCTTTACTGTTTTTGATTTGGGTCAGGGTCAGGTTCACTGCGGCGTATGCACATGTCTGCAACCAGGCCGACTGTGATTGATAACTGATCCAGAGCTGTGCACAGCCCCCACAGAGGCACATATTGTCTTAACACAACCATTTTCAACAGAGTGGACAATTCAGTTACAAAGGGAAACGTATTTTGGATGAATAAGAGGAATGCAGGAGATACTTTCAGATTCAATTCTATACAAGAGTCAGGATTGTGATTAGATTCAATTTATCTAATGAGTTGGAAATTATATAAGCAGTTCTATTGTTTGTCAGGAGTTATTTTTTTCTCCAACAGTCAAAAATATCTTAACTAATTTCATTCTACTCCCAAATTACTAGCCCTTTTCATATATATTTTTTTCTGTGTACTTCCATCAGCAAACAGAAGTTTTAGTTGGTTTCATTCTCCTGTTATCCCCAGTGGAGTAGAGGGAAGTTAGACTGAAACAGTTTCAAACAAACAGCTGAGAAAATGAGGTGATAATTAGAAGACCAAGCCGAACAGTGACATTACACTACTTTGTTTTACTTTAGAGACTCCTCACACAGCTCCACTTCAAGTCACAGAATAACAGAATGACAAATGACAAAAAAGAATGATAAATGACATAAAAACCAAAGTGTACAGACTTGTGTGTGTTTGTGTGGTTACTACACCCAAACCCCAACCATATATCATGGAGGGTACATTGACAGAGATGAAAATAATTAAAACCAAAATTGCAATGGCATTTTTTTCATCTTAAAGTCTGGTTTAAAGAAAGTCTAATCAACTGACTGTAGTCTACTCCAGAATGAGAAGTCAATTACCCTCGGTGCGAAGAAAGTTACGCATTGTTCATGTGCGAGTCTATTGTGTTCAAACTACACCATGTGCCTACTGTTGTGTTGACGCTGCCTTTCGGTGCGTGTGATTGTGATGTTGACCGCTTGCTGATATGACGTCGGTTTCTAGATTTTTGCGTGATTCATTTTCTAAAAGATTCTTGTTTGGGTAGTTCTTTTCCATCCCTTGTTTAAACTTGTGAGAGCACACTGAAAGCAACGATATCAGTAGCACCTGTGAAAACGAAAAATGATTCTTACATCCTTTTTGTCCCTCATCAATCCCTGTATTTCAAGATGGCGCATTGACACGGAGAGTCCTCAGCCTCATGTACATTTATAAGTCAAATTCTACGCCTATGAAAACAATTAAAAAACATGGTCGAGGTAAATATTCTTCAAAAGGTGACATTTGTTATTAGTTAACATGTTCTTTTCAAATGGAGAAAATGTAAAAATTACAGAGAGTACCTTTAAATAGCTTGAGTTCAGATATAGTTGAAGTGCAGTGAATTTATAAAGGACAGGACTAAGGAAAAAAAACATTTCTATCTCGCATTTATTACAATACAAGTGTTTAATTGCTGAAACCTAACCACACGTTGTTTACAAATCTGTAAGCTGCAACTAGGGAAAAACAGCTTTCACCTCACGGCCTCCGCTGCCATAAACCACCCACTTAACCAAGACAATAGTATAGATTCTCCTCACCACTGCTTAGAGACATATTCTGGCAGCCTCTCTGCTCTCCACCTCTGCCAAGAAGGTTTTGTAATCGGCCAGTCAGCTTGTCTCTCGCCAGGATTAGTCCGAAAATACTGCCGCTGGCCCATTCAATGACTGTACAGAACTATAAAAGTGATAAGGGCTGGAGATGGAATTGTCTATGGGCATTTCATGAAGCGGTCAAAACACATCAGCAATCCACAAACAAATCTAACGAGAGATAGAAGGGCCACCATGGCTGGGGTTTGGGTTTGCTGTATACTGACAATGTATGACTGACAGCCGTGGACCATTAATGTATATTTAGTACCTTTGAAAGCGTCGCCAGCCCCTTTACACGCTGTCGCCATCAATCATTCAAGATGTTTATTTCAAAACCCGTACAATTTTACAGAACAACACGCCATACCAACCATACAACATGGCCACATCAAAGGATATAAAGTTAGAAGTTAGAAAACAACATCTATATATTCTTCTAATAAAAATTCTTCGGGATCACTTGAAAGCGGCAGATAAAGTCTGGGACAGTCTCAAACATATATCCACCACTCAAAATAAACTGTATTTTAGGAGTGAGCTGACAGAGTACTATTGTCACCCATAGTGTCAGCCTAGCTAGCTCAAACAGGCTAGTGTTAAATGTATGCAAATTGTGTTGGCCGGCTCATATCTGGATGATCAAAGACAATATAACAATACCAGGATCGAAGAGAGCGCTAAGCCATGGTTTTCTAAAGTAAATCAATTGGAGAAAAAACTTTGTACATGAGCACTTCCCTATTGGGCTTCATTGAGCTAAGCAGGTTAGCCATGTCCAGCTATACACAGTCACATCTAAATAGTCACAAATGTAATGTGTGGTACCGAATGCCAAATCCATGTGGGACAAATGTGTTATGAATTCCTTATGGATTAAACTTATTTGTCAGTACAGAACGATTGGTTAATTTTATTTTCTGTGCTACAGTAAGTATGGCACGTGGCACTATAGAAGACGCTTTGATCATCCCCCATCCTTATGTCTTCACTGTCCTCTGCTTTAGGAAACATGGCATTAAGCCCACACCACATCCGTGCCTAATTACAGCTCTATACGTTACTATTAGTTTACTGCTTTGGAGCCACTGTAATTACCCGAGCCATCTAATGCTCTGGCTTTGTCCTCTGCTTCCGTTTGGGTCGGCTTGTGTTGTATTTCTGTGCACTTGCGGGAGCTTCTTTTGAGCTGCTCCCATTTGGAAAAAGAAACAAAATGGTGACAAAGAGGTCAGCAGAGTCCCAACCGATTAATTTTTAATGATGCTGTTTTGCCTCCGAAACTTTCTATTTGGATTTGATTAAGCGAACAAGGCCTCTCGCGAATATTTGTCTTTTTCACTAAAACTGTCAGTGTATCATCTTCAAACATTTAGACTATAGTAGGGCTGTAAAAAGTTCATAAATAAATCACAACTAATGGATAATTGAAATAATCAGTTGCAATTGAGATTAATAAAAGAGCAAAACATATTTACAGTATGTAACTACAGCTGATGTTTTGCTATATTTGTACATTGAGAATAAATTATCTATATAACAGTTCATGGGAGGGTTATCTTACATCAGGGGTGCCCAACCTTTTTCAATCAGAGAGCTACTTTTATAGAACATAAGAGGAAGAGAGCTACTCCTTTTTGCAGTTGTAATAAATGATTACAACAAAACATGGAAAACACATGGAAAATATACCAATACTGTATCACCCTGTATTTATACTTAGAATTGAATTGAATTGAATCATTCAGCATCATGTGTTAAATTCTAAATCCTATGGGGAGCTACCTGGAAGTGGCTGGCGAGCTACAGGTTGGAGACCCCTGCCTTACATAGACTTAAACATGCTAAGAAAAGGTCTTATGACTCAGATAATGACTGCAGAACGAAATTAAAATGTGTTTTCAAGTAATTTAAGTCGAACAACCCAAAATGTAACCAGTCACCTCTCTGAATGTGCTCTCTCCTAGAACTCTTTACAACTTCCTTGCTTGTTCAAATGTCGAAAGATCCCATATTCACCGACTTTCACTATTCACTATACTATACTTTCGGGATCTGAACTCTGCAATGCAAACAAGCACATGCAAATCACAGCAGATCATTTGTTATCAGTATTTAAATCGATGGAAAAGGCTGAATAAACGAGACAAAACCAAAGAACGTTTGAAGCCAAGGCTGGTGTGGCAGCTTAGGGTGCTGCTGGTGTGGCAGCTCAGGGTGCTGCTGGTGTGGCAGCTCAGGGTGCTGCTGGTGTGGCAGCTCAGGGTGCTGCTGGTGTGGCAGCTCAGGGTGCTGCAGTGCGGTGCAGGTCGGAGCCTCCACACAGTGAATAATGTAGACCAGCCATTCCCAAACTCAGTAACACCGAGGCCCCCTTAAAAATCTGACGGGTCTGCGTGGCCCCCCAAAAATAATAACCAAGAAGACAACATTAAGAATAGGCTCTTCTAGTTATTTTATTTTGGGGAAATAGCCTCTGCTACAAACATTGTAATACAAAAATGATTACAGTGGATTATTCAAGTCAAATAATGAACACAAATATTTTAATATTACAAACAAAACATTATAAATTTAACATTAAATAATTATATTTTTTATTTTATTTTTTTATGACCTCCCGCGGCCCCCCTGCAGTACCCTCGCGGCCCACCAGGGGGCCGCGGACCCCACTTTGGGAGACACTGATGTAGACAGTTTATGAACTAATTAAACTGTGGTTCAGACTAACCACTGCATGTAAGTAAATGTAGTGATTTAACTAATGATGGAAAGAAACCATAAAATAAGTGGTCAAGAGTGCCTATACAGTAGGTGGTATGGGTTGGTATCCCGTTCATACTGTGACTTTGCAGAAAACTGTAAAGTATTGTATACTATTGAATGTATTTACCTTGTTCTGTGCTCTCAAAGTTTTTTTTTGGCACCAGCTATATTTGTGGTGATCTGTGGAACTGTTTTAATTGACTAAAATGACTGCAATTTGGTGGCATTTAATCATGAAATGTTCTGAGGAAAAGCAATCACTTTCCCATGAAGACGATTAGCTGAACTTAAGAAAAAAAATATATAACTATTGATTTGCTCATTAGCAGTTTGAACAGTGGCATTGAAACCCCTGACTGCATTATGTGTATCCAGAGGAAAATAGGGAGCTGGCCATACCTGCAGGTGAAAGGAAGAACCCATCAGCTCTGAAGCTAAGCAAGGCCAGGCTTACTTTGATGGGAGACCTCTGGGAATACCAGGTGCCATCTATATACATATATATATATAGTATATAGTGCTATACAAAACAGATGCATTATTATTAGCAGTAGATTTCATCTCTGAGCTGCTTATCATTCAGCATCAGCCACATGTCCTAAGCTAATGTGTGTTTGTTGTGGTTGCCAAAGCTACCAATGTCAGTTAAATCCACTTGTAGTCATGGGGAAAGGTCATCTTGTTAGATCTGGTTTAACACAGGCTTGCCTCCATTAACCTTTATTTTCTCTAAATTGAATGAAAGCACTGAACACATTGTCCCCGCAGCAGAATTAGTTTTCGCACAGCAGCAGCGACATCAGGGCTGGCCTTATCCATTCTAAATTGTTTGTAACTGAAATGTCAAATCGGGACATGATGTTTGTGTATTTAAAGGGCATGATTGGTTTCATTTTATGGCGCATTTAATTTCTGCCACTTTTTATGGTTGTGGAGCTCAAGCCCAATGTACACTTGTGTACATTTTTCATACATTTGTATGCAAGACTTTAAAATGTTTATTCTGCATATAGTAATTTGTATGCATGTATGCTATAGGGAAAAGTCTGACACTGCTACATTGATTAAGGAAAAAGATGCCTTTTAAACATGAGATGACAATATACCATGGGATATTTCAATCCAGGCGCTAAGTTGCAGGAGTGAAGTATAATAGTGGCTGTAAGTTCAAAATCTAAACATTTTTGAGTCAATGTCTCTGCATTGTCCTTTCATATAAACCCATATATCTACCCATATGTTTGAAATGTACAAAGATTATATAATAGTCTGTAAAGCATTAGTACAAACTGTTCAACCTTTGATCAATGATTCCCACGTCCCATGTATTCTCAGAAGACTACAAAATGAAACCTTCTCTTTCACTTTATGAACCTAAAATCACTATGACACTATGTTGTGAAGTGTGATGAATGAATAAAAATACAGGAAGTAATGCAGAGATTCTCTACCTGTTCTCTACCTCTGGCATCAATACTAAATTCCATCCAATATAAAGAATAAAATACATAAATTCATGTATTCATTCATTCATATAAATCTAGTTTTCAGTCTATTAGATGAGCAAAATTACATCAGGACCACAGTCACTGCTTACTTTTAAACAAAATAATAGTTAAATCTAGCTAATACAACGTTTGGACTCAATAGTATTTACCATTAAATTGTTTAGCTCACATTTCAAGCACTCAGAAAATTAATAAAACAGGTGATAATTGATTGTGAAGATCGTTTTAAGTGCTCTATGAAACACGACCACAAACGGCAGAAAAGCCCACACTATACAGTATCCTTTCTCAAAGCTTCTGCTCTCATCCACATCTCCATGGCGACAGGAGTCAATTATATGGCCTTCATATGGATACACTCACATCGGGACTGGCTTTATGCTGAATCTCTGCACTGTTTTCATCCACGCAAGGCTTTCATGAGCACCTGTTGTTGTTCTACATTTACTGAACATAACCTCACTCTCACTCTGAGCATTCATACAGGGGAAACTGAGGCCACAACTGCTCATCACACACCGCATTACAGAAGCAGAAGCAAACCAGGACACAGCTTGGTAAGTACGGGAAGACCAGAGTCATATCAGGTGCCACTGTGGGATAGGGGTGGCATTGTGTCCTTCACTCAACCCACATTACCTGCTCTCAACTGGGGGAGTGGTTGAATGATGCTGGTGGTCAGAGGGCAATGGCACAGACTTCAACTTCAGGGCTGCTGTGGCTTCAATAGCGGCAATCATCACTGAATGAATTATGCTGGGTTTTATGAATTTTTTGACTATCAGACAGTCAGACAATCAAAATGTGTTCACTCTTAAATGGTATTTAGGGAGGTGCTTAAATTACAAATATAATAAAGAGAAAAAATATTGGTTTACATCACTATCTCACTGGCGATCATTGTGCCCAGCCTCAATCGCCTTTTGCGAATCCTGACTCTTAAACTGAGCTCATCAAGTAATCAATGACTCTTCTGAAGTCATTGAGTCACCTGAAAAGCCTTGTTCCAGCTTCATTCCTCTGACAGAAGATATTGTTTGCTGAGATGCGGGACATCTAATTTTTGGCTTTTTTCTTCCTGAGATATTGCTGCAGTACAGTGTTCATGGTTTTGCACAGGTCCAGACCAGAGCAGAGAGGATTCATGGTCCAAACCAAGCGGATCAGGCAAAAATCCACTAGAGGAATGCTAACTTTTTGAAAAATGCAAACAAAGCATTCAGCATTTTACTTTGGACTAGAGAAGAAGAGAAAATGGTCCGAATAGAGCAGCTACACCACCTCTGCTGCTTTGACCTAAAGTGCTGTTGCATTTTAATACTATTGTGAGCTATTTTTAGAAGGATCTATGTATTTGTTTTGTTTGTAAGAATGCATATAAGTCTGCTGCTACTGGACACCTGAATTTCTCCTTCGGGGGTTCAATAAAGTATCTATCTATCTATGCTAAGAGCTTCTTTCCGGGGCCCATCTCCAGCGCTGATTCTTGGCTTGGTCAGGACGGAACAGGACAGGAGCTGGAGGATTATACCTATTGTACAGGATTTTAGTCGAGAAGCCAGAGCAACCGGAGGACACCTACGCAAACACGGAGAGAACACGCAAACTCCATACTTATAGACCCTGTTCCGACTGGGATTCGAACTCTGTGTCTTTTTGCTGAGAAGCGAGAGTGCTATACAAATCAGATCATTCTAAAAATCTATTGTTATACACATAAAACAAACAACTCCAATGTGTTTTTTGTTTTATATCCAGTCTTGCTGACATGGATTGTAACCAGCTCTGCACAATATATTGGACTGCAGCAACAGTGTGGGTAATATAAAACCCATTACTCAGATAGTAAATAAAACACCCAAAAAAAGAGTGTATATAGTGTACAGATTGAGTGTCCTTTGAGAATTCAGCGCTCAGAGATAAGACACGATGTCAAAGCAAATTCCAATGCGGCGCAGAGCTGTCACAATTATGAGTTTTATCAGAGTCTTGTGGGACGTCCAAGGGCATGGCCGCAGCAGACACTCACTTCATCTGCAGCAGTTTAGAGCCCGGCTTCTTTAAAGAGGGGCAGAAGGGTGAGATAAGGCTATCATAATATCATAAATGACATTCATGGATTTGGTATAAGACTAGGACAATCAATGAATGCTACATGACTGATAATAAAAGAAGAAAATAAGGCACAATTGGAATGATTGGAATATTGTTAAAGCCACATTTATAATTTTACATGTTCTTGTGTGATGCTTGCTGCTTTTACTGATCTGTTTTTAGGTTTGTATATGGATTTTAATATTTGTTGCTCTGATTGTTGATAGCTGTAACGTCAACCTGCCATGGGGCTAAAGATGGAAACTTGCCTTCATGGCTAAATCTGACATATTTACATGGATAGAGGCTGTGCAGTGTCACCTTCAAATTAAACAAATACATAAAAAACAGGCCATGCTGAGGTGAAAGAATGTACAACCTTTAGGACTCAATGATATTGTTATTGTTCTGAAAGTTTTACTCCATAAAGCTGGTCACAAACTGTACATTTTAGATTTTTGGAACATTAAAAATACTAAATCCTTAAACTTTATCACCAACAATAAAAACATAGAACATCAACGAGGGAAAGAATCGTGATCACTAAAGTGGAACAACATTGTTTTTCTGGGGGTCCAAGTCCAACTATGGCTTGTTTGTTGGTTTTAAATATAAAGCCAAAACATTGAAGATGTGTATGTTCTGTGATACATATCGTGTTCATCTATTTTCCTCTGCTTCATCCGTTGCCGGGTCGCGGGGGCAGCAGTCTAAGCAGAGAAGCTATCCACACACACTTTCTACAGCTGAGGCGTTCCCAGGCTGGCTGCGAGACATAGTCCCTCCAATGTGTCCTGGGTCTTCCCGGGGTCTCATGTCAGTAATGGTAAATCATAGAGTGAGTATGGCACATATTTACTGTAGTTCTGGCTCTTGTGCTAACTTAAACGCTGAGCTAGCTCATGAAAAACTGCACCTGACCACTGCAGTGTACAGCAAAAAATTGTGGATTCTTTACACACACACACACACACAATGCTTGGAATACAGGGCTCTGAGGTCAGTATCGTTTAGAAAGCTCCTATATCTCATCCCAAGATCCCATATCTTGATTGTCAGATTCCTGCTTGGTCTTTTCAGCTGGGATTAGTTAGTTCAACCTTGCTCACTAATGTCATGTTTTATTGGTGTGTGTCTGAGCTCATCCGTGTCCAAATCTTCCCGTTTCATCCATAATAAGAAGGACACAGTATCTTCTTCCACATGCAATCAAATGTAGAATGCGCCAACACAGAGCTTGTTATCTCTGCCTACATCGGCACACTGGTTTTTTTCACCATGTACAGAATAAATATTCTTCTGAACATGCATTATACAGGGTGCAATGCCAAAAAAACAGAATGACAGGGGGAGTACTGCAGGATTATTTTGTGAACCATTACATCTTCTCTTAATGTGATTAAGCAAATGTGTGTGTGATGTGTACCGCTGCTATCGGTGCGATGCAACACAACCCCTTGCAGCTGTGACAGGGAAAAAAGTTTATTTCAAAACCTGTAAAAATGCAATTTCACAGAACAAAACAACTGACACAGATGTTTTAAAGAGTTTGGATGAAGACAGGGCTTAAATACTTCCAAGACATTCATAGAGGTATTGGATGTACTAGATTTACAGCAGCTCAGTTGGTAAAGTATTGGCCTTTGAGCCTAACCTTGCCTGCAAGCTGAATTCTCGCGGTATTTGTGAGTTCACAAACACTCGAGAATACATCTTGTACCGCTCCCGCTTACACTTTTCGAGTCGAACCACTGGGTGTGCGAGCCAATCACGCGCCAGTCTGGGGGTTTAGGGCGGGATATCCGGGTTTGACGAAAGCAAGAAGTGCCGGGCCGAAGCAAAACAAACATGGCTACGCAGGAGGACGGACGCAAAGTCAGTTTTAGCAGAATCTCCAATTTCTTTTTTGAAAGATGAACAGCGAGAGGCGCTTTGTACATTTCTGGACGGCAACCTTGGTAGGCGGGCACACAGCGTCACTTCGCCCAATCAGACACAAGTATTCTGCTGCTTACCCCTCCTTTCCCCGAAAGGATTCTCCGGGAGAAATCCCAGATTGATATCGCGGAGAACGCGTTAGAGTTCTACACAATCATCAATCTGGCTCTTGCCAGGTTACTTTGAGCCTGAATGACGTGGGTTCGAGTCCAAGACTTTCTCCACCAACTCCCACTGCTGTCTGCTGTAGTTGTGTCCTTAGGCAAGACACTTCACACCCATTGCCTAGAATGAGTCTGGTGTGTGTGTGAATGGTTGGTGGTAGTCAGAAGGGCCGATGGCACAGACTAGTTGCCTCGCTTCTGTCAGTGTGCCCCAGGGCAGCTGTGGCTACAGTAGTAGTTTATCACCACCGTGTAAGGCGTGAATGAATATCAATCAATCAATCAATCTTTATTTATAGGGATAGAATAGAATAATGATGTGAAGCGTCTTTGAGTGTCCAGAAAAGCACCATATAAAACCGATGCATTATTTTTTTTATTATTATTATTGAATCAGATTTAATAGAAATGTTTTTTCTCATCCAAGTATGATTTATTCTCATCAGAAAAGTTGCTTATGATTTCCCGGGGTCTCATGTCACTAATCACTACTGTTCATTAGAGGTGGGGAAAATTCCTGATTCTTAGATTATTCACGATTCGGCCGTGGAAGAATCAAGAACGATTCACAAAAATCCAAATTCCGATTGTTTAAATAAGTTAAACAGAACTGATGTACAGTTAGTGCGGTCTTTGAAACGCTTTAGGGAAAAGACTGTGACGCACATCCTAAAGGTCAGAAGGTTTGAGTCAGTTCAAATAATGGAAATAAAATATTGATCAGACTGTGATTTGATGGTGTAACTATAACAGAGGAAGAGAGAGAGAACCGCAGCCTTCACCTGTCAAGACTAAACCTGCAGAAGGCCCTAAGGACAGGGGATGATCCAGGGCTGCTCTGGACCTATCACTCTAAGGTGTTCTGTTGTACTATTTATTTTTATGTGCTTCTAATCTGCTGTTGGCAAACGATCTGATGTTGTGATTTTGGCCGATACATAAATAAATGTGTTTGATTTGATTTTAGGAGAAATTCTCCAAAAATGACAAAATGTAGTTTGATTGACTTACAGTACCTAATTAAAGGAAATCACTATCTTCCCGTGCATTGGCAGAAGAACAGAGAAGTGCCTGATTTTAATTCAACGTTCAGAAGTCAATGAGGAGAACAGTTTTCTCTAAAGACTTAAATCCACATAATCCAGGAGCTGTAGCAGCGCGCATGTCAATGAACAGGGTAGAGAACAGGCCCGCTGCTGCTGAGGTCAGGAGCTGCTAAATATTTAAATGACCATCTTAGAACGCAGTTTATAAGAGGTCAAATGAATGTTATGAAAGCTGAAAAAACAAAAGGCTGTCACAATATGAGAACATAAAAGGTAGGGGGGCAAAAATTCTACTGACGCTAAATAATCCGGTCCAGTGTTCTCAAGGATTGTCCAAACAACCGGCAAAAAGGATTAAATAAATCTACAAATATTGGGTTGTAATTACTTCATAGTACGTTGTAAGTTAATGGTTGGAAATGTAAAAGAAAAAAACATAGCATTTTCTTCAGTATTCTATGCCGTTTAACCCCCGAAACATGATATCTTCAATTACAATAATTTAGACCCGAGGGTTCAATCACTCACTCACGTTTCAAATGAAGAAACGTCAAACAAATAGTACGTCTTATTTTCCGATCTAATTCTAAGGAACCTTTCTTTTTGTTGGTCTGATGGTTTCTGTGCTTCAGCCTGATGCTTTGAAAATGCTTCCGCCTTCATTTTTTTCTATGCAAAGGGGATAAATAGTTAATATCCTGACTGTTTGCGACAACACAGGCAGGTGCTCAGAACTTGTCATGCTAATGGTCAAAGCTGTTAAAGTCATACAACAAGCCAAAAAACTGGTCATTTTTCTAACATATGTTTTACACGAATAACTTCAAAAACAGAAAGAGCAGCGTGTGAAAGAGCTCAAAGCGTGACTTGTGTGTAGTTTTATAACTTTCTCTACCTGAGCCACATGTAAGCAATGGGCTATAAAACAGTTTTGTTGTTTTTATTCCTGCTTCAGTTGGTCTGCATGTTTCTACTAAGATCACCAAAGTCAATAGTGTACGGTTAGAGCATGCATGTCATCCAGCCAACTTCAGCTCTGCCATGTTGTATCTCGTTGGAAAGGTCAGCACCTCTAGAATCCAGACATTGACATTTATTTTTTAATTTTGATTGTGTCACCAAATTCTGTATATGGCGCTAATGTAGCTGGTGAGACGGTAAACATGTGTCTAACTTCAGCTGAACCTCCCTCCCCCATTTTTAAGTTCAGAACAAATCCCTTCCAAACAAGTTTTACAATCCATGCAGTTGGCCACTGGACAAGTCTGGTGTACTAAAAGTTTGGACACCCCTGGGTTATAGGAAGCCTAATTGTCGATAGCGAAAATAAGAAAAAGCAGAAAGATTCCTCATTACGTTTTTAGTATTTTTGATTTTGAGTTTCTGTTCCCCAGCCTTACTGTCCACTGCTGTCAGAGTGGGTTGATGAGCGCATTATTGTTTTCATGTGGACGTCTGCTTCTCCTGTCACTCTTTTGTGTTTCCAAAGCGCAGGAGAAACTCAAGAGCAGCCATTGTGTGTGAGTTATTTTCACTATCCGCCTACTGAACTTTTAATGACTGTTTAACAAGACAGTAGCACCAGAGTGTGTGTTCAGGGCAAGGAGGGGAGACAATGTCAAGTTTGTGCAGTTTGTGTATTAATGTGTAATGTACGTAACAGTATCAGTAATTAGCATGTCATAGCATCAGCCTGAGTAAAAACTACAGTAAAAACTACTGTATGTAAGGGTAAGAGTATGTACTGTATGGTTGACTGAAGACAAGTCTCAACATTTCTCAAATACACAAAATCCAGACACATTTTTATAGTCAACTCGTAAATCATTTGTTTGACTAAGATGCTGAAGGAGGAT